TCAATGTGTTTTGCTGCACTATAAACCAATTAAGTCATTCAGATAACAAGACACAGCTTCTAAGCGACAACATCGGATCGCCCTGTCACCATACTCCAGAGAATAGGTTAATCACATAGGTTAAATAACGTTTGTGAGCTGAACCTACAACTGAGATCAGAGGACAGTCAAGAGCACGGTCTTATTGCAACTAGTTTAGTATGCATTGCTTAGGAAGCCAGTTGGACAAGGGCATGAAGCACAGAGTTCAAACCCCTGCTCAGTCACAAAGCCCACCGGGTAAAACATGGGCCAGTTGCTCTTTCTCACCCTAACCTCTCTCACAAGGGAGCTGTGATGATAAAAAAAAGAGAGAAGGGAGAACCATACACACCCTTTCTTGAGAGCTTTGGAGGAAAGGCAGGAATGAATCTTGATTTTTGTGTTCTATTAGTAATAATTTTATTGATAACTATATTGCATTTAGAGAGATTTTTCTGGTTAAACCATCTATAATTTTCCCCTCAATATTTATTTTTAACTGCATCATGTCTGTTGGCCGGATGCTTCTTCTCTATTTCAGGGGGCTTCAAAGGTCAGACATATTTTTTAACAGGGCTAACTTGTCTTTAGTCCTTTTTCAGAGTTTAAAATTCCCAGGTGCCAGGCACATTTTGCGACTGGTGCAGATCCAACTGCGACCATGTGGAGATTTATGGATGGCAGGGTGGCAACTGACATCTCCATCTGGCTGGCTCCTCCAGCTTTCATAAGCAGCTCAGCAGAAGAGCTTATTTATTGCATTTATATCCCATCTTTTCCTCCAAGGATGACATGGTTTACCTCCCTCCCTCAATCAATCAATCAATCAATCAATCCCTACAATGACCCTGTGAGGTAGATTAAGAGGCTGTGACTGGCCCCAGGTCACCCAGTCAGCTTCAGGACAGAGTGGGGATTTGAACCCTGATCTCCCAGGTTCTAGTCTGACTAACCACTATACCACACTGGCTTCTCAGAGTGCTTCTGCTATGGTGCAACTATATAAATTAAGCAGCTAAATAAATATGGGGAAAGCAAAATGTCACTTAGATAAGGATCTGCTATATTTTCCTTGAAGCTTGAATTTGTTTTATTCTGGGTTGTTTTACTTAATGTTTTAATGTGTTGTAAACAGCTTTGAGATGTTTTTCCTTTATAATAGAAAATGACATAGACATAAAATTAATAATAATAATTGTAATAGTAATAATGTTTCATGGAGGGAAAATGGCACATAGGAATTACATTGTTGTGACCATAATTTAGGATTAAGATGCCACTTGGCAATTAACTTATATATCTTTGTTTCTAACACTGTTTGCACTCCTTGAACTAGTCAGAATCAGCCTGTTCTGTAATGGAGAACTTACAAAGGATGACAGACAACTCAGACCATTCATTTGGCAGCAATGGAACATGCTGTGGAATAAATAAGGAGCAGATTATTGCTCATCCATGTAAAAAGTGGCTTCTTTATTTCATACCACTGGGGTAAGAATACTATGTTTGAATTTGCTCTCAAGTGCAGATATGCTATATGAGAGTTTTATTGTTAGCAAGTGTGAAATGCACCATCCTAAACAATTACAGAAGAATTCTGGCCCAGTTAAAGCTATGTTTCTTTGTGGCCTCTTCTATGTTCTCACCATAATTCAGACTTTTCATACATCAGACTCTGAAAGATAACCTTCCTGAAAAGTCATTATGACATCACTTGTTCTGAGGCAAAGAAGACACGTCTTTGGTTCAACTCCAAGGCAAGCTGTTCCTTCATCTACTCTAGGACCATTTTACTGGGCCTAACATCACCTTCCAAACTATCACATAATCATTCTCATGTATCTTCTTATGAACTCTATCACCATGTTTCAGCAGGTTACACTGGGCAAATACACAGAATAGGCAAGTGTTCAACTCTAAAAAGCAGGAGTACAGACACACATGGCATTAAAATCACTTATTGATACTATAGGCCCAACATCTTGAAGACTCACTTGAACACAGTACAGTGGTACCTTGGAATTTGAACGGAATCAGTTCCGGAAGTCCGTTCGACTTTCAAAACGTTTGGAAACCAAGGTGCGGCTTAGGATTGGCTGCAGGAAGCTCTTGCAGTCAACCAGAAGCCATGGAAGCCCCATCGGATGTTTGGCTTCCAAAGAACGTTCGCAAACCGGAACACTCACTTCCGGGTTTGCAGCATTCGGGAGCCGAGGTACACCTGTACAGTATTTTACAGATTCAAAATCAGCAGTACGTATGGTTGACTTTTTCGGGACATCAACATGAGGATTTGGAGGCAGACGCTTGAGCTATTATATAACAGCTTTTCCTAACTTGGTGGGTTCCATATGCTGTTGGACAACATTTCCCATCATCCCAGACCAATGGCTTGGCTATGCTGGCTACAGTTGATGGAGCGCAATATCTGGAGGGCACGAGGTTGATGATGGTTGTATTATGCCCACAGGGCTTATTAGGTTGTTGCCACTGGCAATCAGGGAATCAGTTCCCTGGCAAATGTATTTATGCACAAGCGTGGCAGGAAAACCCTCCCAGAGTTCTCTACCCACAACTGAACACTCATAATGTGGGAGGCGAGGAGGGGGAATTTTTCTCACTTCATGCCATGTATGAGAAATGCCACCACTGCCACTCCCTCAAGTTCTCCATCACTTCATGCAGGGCTGAGCAATTTTCAAACTTTGTGGAACCCTGTACGGAAATCTATGCTTTTGGTTGAATATACCATTGGCTTTCGTGCAACATCTGATGACTGGGCTGTGTTTTGTATTGCCAATAACTTTGGGGAACCTTGATCATGACCCTATTGCAATTATTATTATATTATTCAGAAGACATCTGAAGGCAGCCCTGTTCAGGGAAGCTTTTAATATGTGAAATTTTAGTGTATCTTTCATCTTTGTTGGAAGCCGCCCAGAGTGGCTGGGGAAATAATAATTATTATTATTATTATCTACCTTTACGCACTTGACTCCAACACATTCAATGACAAGCTGAGGTAAGAGGCCACTGTGTTTTCCAGACTTAACAGAATGACTCAAGACACTAAGATTTTCCTCACACCCCCAGCTCCATTTCAAAAAGGAAGATTTCATCAAAATACAAACCTCATCAAAATACACACAGAAGAATCTATCCAGTGCAGCATTCCAGTGAAAGGGGGCAGCTGACCTTTAATGTATCACATTGAAAGAGGGGGAGGAAACATCTCAACTCAGGAAGTGCCAGCAACTCAGTAAGACAATGCCATTCCATTTCTCACGACCTTCACTCTTGCTAAAAATAACTAATAGGGTATCTCACATCTGACCCCATAGCTTGGTCATGGGGAGGTGGACGATCTAAGGCGGGGAAAGAGAGAGACTTTCCAGAACCTTCTAAAGAAAAGGCTTACAAGAGCCTTCAAATGCTGGGAAGAAAAGTAATACACATTGCATTCAGGAATTGCCTGGGATTCAACGGACGTTAAAACACTTGATCTTCAAGGCCAAACTTCCATTATACTGTTCTTGATATTAGAGCTCTAAAAGCATATGAGCCCACCTTGACTCTGACAAACCATTTCTAATGTAATCTCAAGAATAAAAGATCACTGCCTGACATGTCTGAAACATCACTCTGAACTCCATCAATGAAGCAGAAAGAGTCCCCCATGAATGTCATATTCTTATCTCATCCAATAAGCCCATATAACATTTCCCCATTCAAGGCCACAAAACTGAGAACAGCATATATATCCATCTTTGATTGAATAGCCATGAAGCTCATCTCTCTAAGAAGCATCACATGAAGGCCCCAAAGATTCTCTAGTCACATATCCGCAAGCCCCACCTCAAACCAACGGTACAGTACCTTACATTGAGTCCTTACTCTACACCACAAAAGGTCTCAATGCCATAAGGAAGAACAAAATACTTCTTTTCAGAAGCACCTGCCCTTTTCAATCAGCCCAGCTTGAGTGTGCATTAGCATAGCTGCTGTACCAAGAGATAGTTGCCGAGTTCTTCTTGAGATAGATGAAGATCTACCAAAGCAGCAACTAGAGGTAAGACACCTGTGTGGGAGGAGGGGGGAGGCTTATTGATGTAAACTTGAAATAAGTTGAATTCTTTAGCAATTTCAAAGATAGTATTAATTCAGCTCAGGATAATAGACACAACAGCTCTCTCTCTCTTTGTCTCACATGCATTAAAAGGCATCTTTTAAGACGTGGGGAGGGAGGGGTGAGACAGAGCGAAAAGGAGCAACCTGCTGCATCATTGGGGGGGGGGAAGCATGCAATGTTCAGGAGCAGGGCCTAGTTCAACCCAGCTGGGTAGGTAAGCCCTGCACCCCCCCCAAAAGGTGGGCAGCCAGCAGGCCATTTGAAAGTGGAAGTCTACCCCCCAGCCCTGCAATGTGAAGAAAAAAAAGAGTTAAAAGACAATAATCACTTCTTCATGAAGTAGCCTTTAGCCTCAGGGAGGGACTGAAAAGGGATGGGGAAGGAGATGATAAGGAAGGGGGGGAATGATAAAGGGGTTCTCACCCCCCCCATTCTGAAATCTCAAGCAACTACAAAATAATCTAAGTAGGGAGAATAAGGCTGAGGGACCTCCCCTCCCCTTAAGAAGTGAGTAAAACCCACTGCCTTCAAACCAGATATACAGTATAATTATGGTCCTGGGATGCTATAATTATAATTAAGGAACTGCAGAAATAATCTAAGTAGGGAGAATAAGGCTGAGGGAGCTCCCCTCAAGAAATGAGTGAAATCTACTGCCTTCAAACCAGGTATATATATAGATAGATATGCAGGTATCTGCATACAGTATACAGATAATTATGGTCTGGGATGCTCTATATCTGTATATATGAAGGGAGGATGAAGAGCCTTCTGACCTCCCTCTGGTCCCTTCAGCCTCCTTTCTCTGCCCCCCCCGTCCCCCCGAAGCGCCCCCCGGCCCCTCACTCACCGGGTGGGGGCTCCTCCTCCCTCCCGCCGGTCCCTCCTCCCCTCCCTCCGCACAGGCCGGGGCTGCAGGGCGAAGCTCCCCCAGGGTCAGGGGGGGACGGGAGTCAAGCAGCGGCGCCGTGCTTCGGGAGGGGAGGGAGAGGGAAACCGGTGGAGGCGGTGGGGCGGCGGCGGCGGCGGCTCTGGCAGGCGACAGCCCCGGGCGGCGAGGACCCCCGGCCTCCTCGGCTCCGGCTCGGCGATAACAATAGGGCTGCCGGCGCAGCGCCTCCCTTTATATAGCACGAGCCACGTGACGCGCCTCCTCGGCGCGGGGTTTTTTTTCCCCCTCTCTCTCCCTCACAAACGCGTGGGGCGGGCCGCGGAGCAGCATGGGAAATGTAGGCGCTTCCGGAGAGGCGCCCGGCACGTGCGCGCGCAGTTTTCCTCAGAAGGCGGGGGAGCGGGGAGAAGGACTCTCCCAAGGTAGAACGGCGGCGCTTTGCACACCGGGAAATGGAGTCCAGAAAGGGTGGCTTGAAGCGGGAAGCGCATGACAGCGCAGGGAAAGCGGGCTTGCTGTTCCAGGCGCTCCACCTAGCGGCCGCTGAGGGTAAATGACAAGCTTAGCTCGTCATGCTTCTCGCCGCCTCCTTCACCCAAACCTTACTTAAGAGGGAGAACTGCCTGACAGGAAGAGATGACCAAAAGCAGGGGTCAGCACACTTTTTCAGCAGGGGGGCCGGTCCACTGTCCCTCAGACCTTTATGGGGGGCCGGACTATATTTTGAAAAAAATAAATAAAAAATGAACGAATTCCTATGACTTATAAATAACCCAGAGATGCATTTTAAATACAGTACAGTGGTACCTCGGGTTAAGTACTTAATTCGTTCCGGAGGTCTGTTCTGAACCTGAAACTGTTCTTAACCTGAAGCACCACTTTAGCCGCCAGAGCACGATTTCTGTTCTTATCCTGAAGCAAAGTTCTTAACCTGAAGCACTATTTCTGGGTTAACGGAGTCTGTAACCTGAAGCGTATGTAACCCGAGGTACCACTGTACAAGCCATAGCTGTCAACTTTCAGATTTGAAAATAAGGGATCAGCAGCCTCACCTGGTCCCAGGGACAGTCTATGGGATATCTAACAATCCGGGATAGCAGCGGGAAGCAGCGGGAAACGGCGCTGGAATAAGGGAATTTCCTGCCAAAAAAGGGAAGGTTGACAGCTATGGTACAAACACACATTCTACTCATGTAAAAACACCAGCCAGGCCCCCCAAATCACCCAGAGGTGCGTTTTAAATGAAAGGACACATTCTACTCATGTAGAAACACGCTGATTCCCGGACCGTCCGCGGGCCGGATTGAGAAGCATAGCTGTCAACTTTTCCCTTTTCTTGCAAGGAATCCTATTCAGAATAAGGGAATTTCCCTTTAATAAAGGGAAACGTTGGCAGCTATGTTTAGAAGGTGATTGGGCCGGATCCGGCCCCCAGGCCTTAGTTTGCCTACCCATGACCAAAAGATTCCCAACAGAGGCAGTGGACTCTCCTTCCTTACAGGTTTTTAAAGCAGAGGTTGGATGGTCATCTGCTGTGTGATCCAGTTGAGATCCTGCATTGCACGGGGGTTGCACTAAATGACCCTCGCTGCCCCTTCTGGCTATGATTCAGATGCCTTTGGAAAAAACCTGCATTGTTATACAAGCTCCTTGCTTGATGTTCTAAGGCAGTGGTGTCCTAACTTTTTTCAAAGAAGGCCAGATTTGATGAAATGAAGGGCCGTGGGGGCCGACCAAAGTTATTGACCTTTTTAGGATTGAAGTTGTTGAGCTTTTCTTAGGATTGGAGTTGTTGAGCTGCTTTTATTATTAAAGTTGTTAACTTTTTTTTAGGATTTTACCCCAGGAAATAAACTGCCACAGGAGCCAGATTAAACCGACCAGAAGGGCCAGATTAGGCCTCCAAAGCGGACTTTGGACATGTCTGTTCTAGGGGAAACGGGAATTCTAGAACATCAGGATACCATCCCCTTCTGTTAGATTTCCAGATTTTATAAACGGGAGCATTTTCCTTCCAACTCTAAGATTCTATAATGAGACGCATGTGTCAACTTTGCATTGGCATTCTCAATGGTGAAAGAGCCAGGTCTTTTTTTTTCAGGTGGAACTCGCTGGAACTCAGTTCTGGCACCTCTCCAGGTGGGTGCCAGTGCCATTAGAAGAGAACAAGGGAGGTGTTCATGGTGAGTTTTGGCAACTCTTTTCCTAAAAAAATAGCACTGGCTATAGCCCTATTGGGATGCGGGTGGCACTGTGGGTTAAACCACAGAGCCTAGGATTTGCCAATCAGAAGGTCGGTGGTTCGAATCCCCGCGATGGGGTGAGCTCCCGTTGCTCGGTCCCTGCTCCTGCCAACTTAGCAGTTCGAAAGCACGTCAAAGTGCAAGTAGATAAATAGGTACCGCTCCGGCGGGAAGGTAAACGGCGTTTCCGTGCGCTGCTCTGGTTCGCCAGAAGCGGCTTAGTCATGCTGGCTACATGACCAAGAAAAACTGTCTGTAGACAAACGTTGGTTCCCTTGGCCAGTAAAGCGAGATAAGCGCTGCAACCCCAGAGCCGTTTACAACTGGACTTAACTTTCAGGGGTCCTTTACCTTAGCCCTATTACTAGATGGGATGACTTTGAAACAGGGGGAAACTGTTGCCATAATTAAGTACAGTACTTCTCTTCACTATAGGGGTGAAGAAATAATTTGAAGGGCATTGAAGTTTCTCACTGTAAGCAGAAATCATGCAGCATAATCCTATAAGCTGCATACAGGATACATAGAGCCACTGCTTTCAAGTATGAAGATTGCAGCCTTAACCCTGAGGCTAAACAAGTCCAGGCCACTTCATTTTGGTTTTCAGTTAATGCAAGTGTAATTGCTGTGCCACAACAAATTAGAAAAAGGAGAAAAACAAAATTATAGCTCAGACCTGGGGCGACACCGCCCCTGCACCTAACCAGCCCAAAGTAGTTTCACTATTTGAACACACACACCTCTAAATTCAGATGCAGACTTAATATTTCATTGGTGGCCATGCTGCTTTATTTCATTTTGTGTGTCTCAAAGCTGGACCTATTTGAACAGAATCCTCCTCTCTCCATCCTATTAGAGGCTTGTAACTGCGGGAGGCAGTGGAAGACAGGAGTGCCTGGTGTGCTCTGGTCCATGGGGTCACGAAGAGTCGGACACGACTAAACAACAACAAAATGTGGTTGGCCTCAAGTGCACAAATTACCTACTCCAATTGCAATACAGTAATTGTAATACACTTTACTCCCAGGTAAGTCTCATGGAACTTAGGCGTGCAATCCTATTCCTATCTACTTGTAACCTATGCAAAACTGCGTAGAGACAGGTGACGAAAATACCACTATGGGTTAAAAAATGCAATCTAAACCATGGGCTACCTTTACATGCAAGCCAGGCCACACACGACATCCATGCTAACGGCCATTATGCTTTCATGACACACATGAACAATAGCACTTTGTTGCTGTTGCTACTAAATAGTAGCTTGGAGCAGCAGGGAAAGAAATGTTTTGGGCTACCAGAGCCAGTGGCACAAACGCCGAACAACTGCAATGCTTACTCTAACTCACAAGGGTTCAAGAGTGAGACAGGAGTCGCTCTGTATTCAGTGCAATGGTATCTGATCCAGAAACTGATTTTTGCCACACTTCTTGTTGTTGGCACTAGTGTGTCTCGAGAGCCAATGGATGAGTGCTCCATTGGGGGGTAAAGTCAAACCACTGGAGAGTTACAGCGCCTGCTGTGGTTATAGAGACTGATACTGGAGAGACATGTTTAACTGCAATTGGGGCAGATGAAGACATCCGGTTGCGCTGATGCAGTTGTGCCATAGTGGTGTAAATTTGCTGTTTAAATAAAGAGATCAGATATCTTAGCCAGGTTGGTATCTCCTACACACAAAATAATGTGTTCAAAACACATTAGCCAGACACATGGAAAAAAGCTGATATATTTATGAAGAGCATAAAAGCACGAGAAGCAAGCATGCTGGAGTTATTTTTAAAAATTTAACAACGGTTTTGTGCTTACAATGATAATTTATGTTCCATAACCAATTAATGCAAGCTCCAGGCAATCTTTTGCTGCGTCAGCAATGCCGTTGTTGATTATAACTAGCCAAATTACTCCTAAGCAAGCAAAAATTGAATCATTCCTTTACCAAAGTTGCCAAGGCAGAATAGAAGCAAACTAATATAAAATGCAGAAGCTCTCCTGCTTTGCACTTCTTTCTGAACCCCACATAATTGGTGTTCAACACTTCGTATTAATTATTGTCCTGGTCTACTCGACAGCTCCATTTGAACATGGATACCATGTCCGCACACCTGACTGTGGATGCACATAGTGGATGAATTTACTGATGCATTTACACAACTGAAAGCAAAAGCAAAAATGATACAAAGCTTAAGCAAGCATGACACTTGTACATTTGTCTCATTACACCTGTCACACATGATCAGAGAAACTAATTAGAATGTAAATTCTCAGTCCTAAACCACTGTATGTGCAAAAAAAATATGTACTGGCCCAACATTTGACACTTCTCTATATAATCATAATTTATTATTTATACCCCACCCATCTGGCTGGAGTTCCCCAGCCACTCTGGGCGGCTTCCAACAAAATATTAAAATACAGTGGTCCGTTAAACATTAAAAGCTTCCCTATGTACAGCTAATATTATTCTCAGCTTCTAGTGGCAGAGATTATTCTGCAGCAAAAAAGACCCCAAATATTATATTCAATTATTATCTTCTACACCATCACCAAGTGATGCTGCATGGTCTATGATGGCTAATGACTCCCACATTATTAAAGGTCCCAGAATATAAAAGGGAACACAACCCAACGTCATGTTTTAGAGTTTGAAGGTTTCATTCTATGTTTTAGCAATACACACACGTTATGAAAGACGGTTACAACACCAGGAAGAATGGCATTTTTTGTGTGCTTGTGGCACGGGGGACCCATGATCATCCTCCAAGTGTTCAAACACAGATTTGGGGAGGAGGGAAGTAAAAAATATATGCTGCCACTTGTGCACTGAAAATTGCATCCTGCTGACAGGCTGTAATGAGGGAGCATGACAACGGCCAGTTCAGAAGTTATGATTGCTCTCTGACCAAGTTTCATATTCAGGTTTGAAGGGAGCCCTTTAAACCATAGTTT